ATGATAATTATTATGAATAGAGGTGTTGTCAAGGTGTGGTTTGAGCCCAGGAAATAGATGCCTAAGTCAGATTTGGGGGAAGGCTTTCAGAAGAGAAGGAGCAGAAAGAAGAGAGCCTGTGAGAACTCTTTTCTGTGCAACTTTTCACATTCCCAATTTTATGGGGCTACACAATAAGTGACTTCCTTTTACATCTCTTCAGGCAATGCCTGAACCGTATCTTTTTTTCTCTGGGAACTGATCAAATAGACTATTGCATGACAGAGATACCTCCCCTGTGGTTTTCCTTTTTATCCTATGGTGCTCTAAGGACTATTGGGGTTTCCAATCTGTGTCACAGGATCTTCCCACAAAGAGCATATAAAAGTCTTTTAATAATGAATAATAAAGAATAACATATAAAACCTAGTAAACTTTTAAATTAAGCATTTCAGCAAGTGCTTTAAAAATCTATGCCCTAAGGGACAGTGACAGTGTCTTCTGCATATATTGTGAAATATGTAGTAGGCTATTTATTGGCTTTAAATGAATATTCAATTAATAAAGAGTGGAGTATGATCCTCTGAAGAGTCTGAGAATTGTGCTTTTTCCCCCCTAAATTTCAAGCCCCCAAGAATCAATTACCTTTAAAGACAACTCACAGTAAAATAGGTCGTTTTTGTACAAGCCACTCATCTCCCCATTTCGGTAGATTCAAGAGTAACATTCACAGGAATTCAGAATGGACTTTAAAAAGCAATCCTGGATCTTAGGTGAAAACAAAGCTAGCTAAGATCAGAGCATCTCAACATCAGCTAATATAGTCTGGTTTTAATCTCCTTATTATAAAAATACTCTTTCATACTCCTAAAGATATGTTTTAATTCAAGCTCCGGTAAATTGGAAAAGGAGGAGGGAAAGGAGGAAAGAATATATGTTTGTGTTGGGAGGATGGGAGCAGCAGCTGTGTAGCTGCACATGGACAATCTTTTGTCTATTTCTTTAACATTCCTCATTTATTTGCCTCTCTTCCTCATTGTCTTTTCTTTGATTCCTAAATCGTTTCTTATGCCTATCCTCATCCCAATAATAGAGAAAATAGATACCATCTACTACTTCTTCCTAAAATATTAACAAGATACACTTAATAATATATGTAATATTCTTTAAATTTGCTAATTATTTTTATTTTGTTAGTAATATTTCCCTTTGATGATGCAAATTTAAAGAAACTGCATTTCAGCATGAGGACCTTAAGTGTGTTCCCAACTGGGCTGATTACTCTCAGCTAATCTAGTGTTCCATTCACTGGATTCCACATACTCCCCTGTATTGATTGTATTATCAGTAGTAGTAATCACAGATATCATTACCAGCCAATTACACAAACACACATCTGAGTTAGGTGACCTATTCACCAACATTATCTCTTACAATTCTTAATTTTCTAATGAAGCTGATCGTCCTCTTGTCCAATTAAGTGTAGCTGCATATTTTGATCTAGTAGGCTTAAATGCTAGCATATTGAATTATGTAGTAGGTAATTAGTTTACATATGTTGGTAACAAAGCAATTTGAGTGTAATCTGTTTCTTATTCTATTTGAGGAGTGCATTAGATAAGGTTAATAGCTTGAAAATATAGACCTGAACATGCATTTGGGTGAACTACAATGGAAGTTATTTCCTGGTCACATAACAGGACTGGGTGAGAGAATTGATACTCAGTTATCCAGGGAGCCACACAGGTTTTAGACATATGCAATACAAGACTTCCAAAGGCATCTGGAAGATTCATTTCAGAGGAAAAGAATATGGAAGAGCTAATGGGAGATGTCTATGGGAAACCCTGGAAGTGAGGCATGTTCATATTCTGTTGGCTAGATCTTAGTCATATGATGACCACACTTACTTACCAGGAAGACTAGGAAATATTATAGTCTATCCTAGGAAAAAGAAAAGAGCATGGATTTTGGTGAGAAGTTAGCACTTTCTCCCATAAGTACTCAAAATAGAACTTACTCCATTTCTCTATTTAATAAATAATTTTTTAAAACTTACCTTGTCATTATTTGAAACTTCTACTAGGCTTGTTTTGTTTTTATTTTTTTACACAATGCCAGATGTCTTATAGAACCTAAATCCAAGCTCTGCCTCTTAGACTTATACATATTAAACAAAGAATGGAGAATATAAAATTGCAAAGTATTTTTTCAAGTTTTTAAATAGATAACTTCTGTCCATGATTATTGTAGTTATTTTTAGCAGATTAAATTATATATATATATATAGGTTAAATAAAAAGGTTTTGGGGACTAAAAAGAGAATCTCCTAGTTCAACCCTCTAATTTCATAGAGAAGGAATGTGAGAGCTGTAGAGATGGATTATTGTACAGCGAGTGTTAGTGGTAAAGTCTGGTCCAGGCTCTTTTGCTAGTCTAAGTTTCTTTCCATAATATCATTTGTCACCTTTTGTATTTGCAGTCATTTAGCCCACAATGCATAAGTCATTAATGTCTGTCCATTTATAGAGATGAAGTAAAACACAATAAATTATATCTAGCATATGGCTATCATATGTTATGGGAAAGCTATGGGAAAATAGATCCACACAACTTTGAAGATCTATAACAAGGTAGCTACTTACTGAATGATTTTGTTTTTTTTAAAATTAATCTTAATGAGTGAGATGTGCACCATCTGGGGGATGGTCATGCTGGAGACTGACTCATACTTGTGGGGGGAGGGGGGAAAGGGCATTTATTGAAACCTTAAAATCTGTACCCCATAATATACTGAAATTTAAAAAAATTAATATTATTTCTTCAACAAAATAATAATGGATTCTAAATAAACTTTCAACTCTAAAATTATGTAATCCATAGCATATATAAAGAGGAAGTATTAATTAATATTTACAATTATAAATTCAGGGGAAATAAAGTATGAAATCTGAAATACTGGAATATATGTTTTTTAAGGAAGAAAATCAAAGCATTATTTTCATAAAATAATTACATTCCTTTTTCAGTGAGCAACAAACCTGTGAAATCAAAATATAACTATATTACTGAGATGCTATACTAGCTAAAATATAGGTGCTTATTTAATTGTTGTTGCCATAGCCTAATTTTATGCTATTTGTACAAGGATGTATAATATAAAATGGAAACTCTGCAGGAAAAATAGCACAAATCTAGATGCACTCTAAATTGTACAAACTTTAAGAAATTTTGAAATTGTGTGAAATTTGGAGTTATCTCACCATATTTATGTCACATATTAAGTATAGTTGATTTTGTATCATGGTTGAATCAAAATCATTAGAGTGACACATTCTTTTATTTCAAAGAAAAATGAAACGTAATCTTCAAAATTGGTTTTTATTGTGAACACAATAAAACACTGTATTACATAATAAGTGCAATAAGCTGCAAGCTAATATTCATCTGTAATTTTCACTTACCACATTTGAGTTATAACTAGATAATCTAGCAAATTTATTTTAAGTGAAGATAAGAAAGGCTTTGTTTCCTCCCTGTTCACCTTGCAACAGGCACAAATAAAAAGATCCATCTAATTCTGTGATGCTATAGAAGAACAATAGTGTGAAATGTAAATAAGTGAGATAATCAGGCTTTGGTTGTTTTCATATTTCTCTCTTCTCTATGTTAAAAGTCTGTATTCAGTTGATTAAGTCTTAGTCTGTTCATGCTGCTATAACAAAAATACCTTATACTGGCTAATTTATAAACAATAGAAATTTTTGTTCACAGTTCTAGAGGCTGGTAAGTTCAAGATCAAGGTGACAGCATATTCAATGTCTGCTGAGGGCTTTCTCTCTGCTTCAAAGATGGTGCCTTCTTGCTGTGTCCCCGCATGGCATTGCAAAGAAGGGGCAAGAAAACTTGTTGGAGCCTCTTTTATAACAGCACTAATCCTCTTCATCAGGGTGGAATCTTCATGACTTAATCACTTTCCAAATGCCCTACTTCTTAATGTTATCACATTGGGTATTGGGTATATAAATTTGGGGGAGACAGTGACATTCAGACCAGAGCAATTATTAATGTAAAAAACTCAAGCAAAACACATAAGTGTTGCCATATGTGGCAGATACATCAAGACCAAGACCATCTTTTAATGTACTTTAGATTGTCATTTATGTTGCCTTGATTTTACAAGGATTTTATATGCACTCTACTGGATAATAGAGATGGACAATTCTTTTTGGCTCCTCATCTGGATATAGCCTCTTAAACTATAGACAATATGCATTTAGGTAATTTTTAAAAAGTACATTTTAGTATTTTCTAAAGAATCTGGTATTGGTCCCTAAAAGAGGATACAACATGTGCTATTAGTGACGCATCAGCTATTCGAAAGGAAAATAATAAAAGGGAAGAGTCTACTCTTCTTTTAACATTTTTGTAATGTATGCTTTATTAAAGTCTAACTCTAGTTTTTATAGATGTTATGGAAATCAATTTGAAAAAATAGGTTTGAAAAAATACTTAATATTGTATGCAATCTAACATAGATGTACTCAAAACTATAAATTGACACTTTAATTTGATCATCTTTTTGAATTCAATGTGTATTACATATTGCCCAGAGCTACATGAAAAGTAAAGATAATGTGTTGAGAAATTGAAATTACATTTCAGTAATCAATGATTTGTTACCTCTGAAGAGTTTCTGTGAAGGAACATACCTAGGGTTGGTTTTGTTAAAATTCCTTAATTCTTTCCTTTTTTAAAAATATGCATTCTGATGTTTTTTTATTCATGTAAATTTTTAACTTTCCAACCCTGTATATATTAAGGGGCATTGGCATCCTACATAGGACTATATTTAAAAAATGAGTAATTTCATTTTTATAGCACTGAATATGCTTTCTTTATACTGTGATGAATCTTGCTTTCTGCCTTTTATTTGCATAAGTAAAATCTTCATTTTTGCATCATCATGTATCTTTTCTGCATATAATTAACATTAACTTCTCTTTTTTTTGACTGTGCAGGGCTGGCTATTTGCCTCAGAATATTCCCCTGGAGATTATGAGATACCTGTCTGAGGAGAAGGATTTTCTTCCTTGGCACGCTGCCAGCCGGGCTCTTTATCCTCTAGACAAATTACTGGACCGCATGGAGAACTACAATGTCTTCAATGTAAAATGATATAATTTCTTCTTTCTAATTTTTAGGAGATAAACTATCTTCTCATTTTCTACAATATGAAACTGACCTTAAATTATTTACTTTAGTTCCTCCTTCCAGTTTGTTTTATCATTTTTGTCCTGATTTTCCAAGACAATTATTTGAAAAAGAAATTTAATGCAAGCTACCTTTTGTTCTGGCCTAAAAGTGTCAATTAAGCTTAAATGCTTCAGAATTTAAGAACACATATGCATGATAAATCCTTAAAATTCAAACTTACTTTCCAAGAGTTAAAGGGCTGTGTGTTCACAAAGGACTTAACCTGGGTAGAGGGATCCCGAAGATCTTAACAGAATATAGGCAGTTTCAGTAAAGATTCTTAGTCATTATTTTTATCCAAAAGGGCATAGTGAATTCAATTCACTTCCTTAATTAACAAGGATAAGATCAACATTGAGGCAAAAGCCCATTCATAATTGGGTCCAAGGGGATACAGGAGAGCAAACAACAGATAATCCAAATAGACATGAAGACATGACAAACATTCCAAAATGGTTACCTGACCAGATTTTCTAAACTCAAAGCCTGGTAAGCCAAAATCGCACCGCTGACACTGCCTAATCTGATTTAATCATCATTTTGAATAATATTAGGATTAAGTACTGCTAATGAGCTTTTGATTCTTAAATTTTTTTAATCACTGTGCTTTCTATTACCTTTGTGGTACTATTTGTTTTCCTTTAGTTATTTTAAAAACCTTCCCTGTGTTTTATAAAATTACTCTATTTTTATGACATACTGAATCTGCTAATTAACTTACACATTTGGAAGTACTCAAAACTGGAATGCATGACATGAAATCTTTCATTAGAGCCATCTGAGTTGTCTGATGGCCAAACAGAATCACTTCCTTTTTCATCCTAAATCTACAGAAAAGTAACTTTAAAAATATTTTTTTAAAAATTAGGAAAAATTGTGGCACAACTCTTTATTATTATTTGTTTTCCCCAAGCCTTTACAACAGACAGGCAAGCAAATGGCTCATTAAAGTTATGTTATAATTTTTATCTGTTAGAGAAAGACTTATTACTCTTTCTCCATAACACAGAGACACTGCAATATTAAGCCTCTGTAAACATAAAATGCATTTTGTATATGTTTATACTTTAGAATATTGTATCATGTCAGATACTTCATTTTCCGTAAAAGTTAAGAATTGCTTTTACTGTAATTCAGTGCTTTCATTCCTTTGACAAAATTCAAGAACCACATTAAAGTAAGGGAGAGCATATCTTACACTGAGATTGATATTAAAATACATCATTAGCTGAATGGATTGCTAACTTTGAAATACTGTGTCATTACACTGAAGTGTTCCGTGAATTTCCGTTTCATCAATGCTAGGCTACTGGCTAAGCCAACGTAACAGTCTTGCATTGAATATGTTCTATTGACATAAAATGCATAAATTATTAGATGCACATTTTCATTTAGCAAATCACATGTATTTGTATATATGTATGTATGGGTGTTATCAATATTCTTCATTTTCTTCATTTTGTTACAAAAATTGTCATCTAAAATATTTAATCATGCAAATTATTTAGTTGATAGGAAGAAAAGAGTAGACTTCTACCATTCCAACAGCATTTTATCCTTATTTTCTATATTTGAAATACTGATTTGAATAAACATATGATAGAGCCCTACTGTGCCTATAATTTTACTGCTATTTGAAAGTGGGTCCATTTAAAATCGAAGGAAGACTTTTCTCCTTCAATTCCTCAAGCCAAAACCTTTGGTGCAATCCTATACTCCTTTCTTTCTCACACATTCCACCTGCAGTCCATTGCATCTGGGCTGATCTCCTCTGGTCCCTCCATTAGCCTTCACATGTGGTACTTCAATATTCCTGTAACTGGTCTCACTACTATATGCTCACTACTACTACTGCTGCTGCTGCTGCTACGGAGTATATTTACATAAACCCTTGCCAGGCAAATCTTTTTAAAACTCAGAGAAGTTCTTGTTGTTCCTTGGCTTTCACATCCCAATTACATCTCCTCCAAATCAGAGTAAAATCCGAAGTCTATAAAACTGCAATACTCAGCATAACCTGAACCCACGCAACCTCTCTGCTCTCACCTCTTCCACTTTCCCCCTGAAACACACTGGAAATCTTGCTGTTTCCCAAACATACTGAGGATGCTTCTGCCTCAGGGCCTTTGCACTTACTGTTCCCCTACCTGAGATATTCTCCCTCCAGATCTTTAATGGCTCACTCCTTTTCATTAGTCAGAACTCTGTTTAGCTGTCACCTCCTCACTAAGCCTTTACTAACTCCCCTGTCTGAAATACTCACCCCTACAACTGTTGATCCTTTTACCCTGCTTTATTTTTCTTTTTATCGCTTAACTATTTTCTGACATCATCTCATTTATTAGATGAGTCAGTGTCTGTTTTCTGCCACTAGACTGTCAGTTCCATGGAAGCAAGGACCTTGCTTATAAAGAGGAAGGTGGAGGTTTCATGCCCAATCTCTAGAACAGAGTGTGACACATGGTAGACCCTCAATAACATCTGTTGAGTAAATGAACAAGTTAATCAACCAATATTAGGGAAGGTAGTAGAGCTCTCTGAGCCTCAGTCTTCTCATTAGTAAGATGGGAAGGGATAGTATTCGCAAGAATTGTGATTGTCCTCATAGTGAAATTTGAAACTGATCTTATCTTTATTTCTCCTACCCCCACTTAGGAATATATTTTAAAGCAAGTTGCAACAACGTACATCAAGCTTGGATGGCCAAAAAACAATTTTAATGGATCTCTTGTTCAAGCATCCTACCAGCATGAGTACTGTTTTATTTTCTTATTCTCTTCTTTTCCTCCAGAGCTATACAATAACATACTACTAGTGCCATTGTGACTTTAGCAGCATGAGACAATCTTTCTTTCATTCTACATCTTATGTTTTACTTTCCTGGGAGGACTGCTGCTGAGTAGTACAGTTTCCATCACCTGATCCTCAGAACAAAGACATTTCCCTGCTATGTTTCAACTTAAGATCTACCTTTATTGGTAATATTGAGATTGAAACTCATGCCCCTCTCTGGAATACGGTTTGCAGAGAAGACTATTAATACCTTTAACTTTCACTCTAAGGGTCTTTTACTCAGCAGCACAGGATTTACAGGTCTAGAAACTATTTTGTATTAATTTACTGATTTATGTAATAGGTTACTCTGATTTTGATCTTTTTCTTTTGCTATCTAGGGAACTACGTAGAGAAGTTATAATGCTGGCTTGTAGTTTTGGCAACAAGCACTGTCACCAACAGGCATCAACACTTATTTCAGACTGGATTTCCAGCAACAGAAACAGGTTAGTTCAACCAAATTCTGTATTTCTGATATTATTTAATAGTACTTTCAGATTTTCAGCTGATGCATTTTATTTATCAAGTGGAGAAAAACAAAACAAGAAAAAAACACACAGCAAAACTTTGTTTCAGGTTCAAAGCTTACAAGACAACAGTGTGAAAGCTGCAATGTATTTATCTTTGGATGTTTCATCAAATTTTAGACTAACTTCCCTAATCTATGCCTTTATTCTTTATATAAGTAAGTTGTCACCTTATTTCAAGTTTTGAAAGCTCTGCCATCCCATAAAAATAAAATAATTAAATTTAATCCAAATTCTTTAAAGTTCTTTATAAAGGTTGTGGTATTTATTCATAAAACAATTACCAGCATATGTTATAAACAAAATAGCATAACAAATGTTAATATTTAAATCGAAAAGGTTATGAAAAGAGATCTTTACTTTTTCAGTGACCCTTAACAATAACCTTAAACTTGTAATTTATCTTGGAATTTTATAGTAGGGTATTTTAATACATAATATGAAGATAAAGTTATTTAATTGAATTACTTTTGAGAAAAAAATGGTATTAAATGTCAGTTGTTATGGAAAAGAATACTAAACATAAAAATAATCAAAGATCATTGGTCTTCTGACCACAGTATTTTAAACCTTGTTAAGTTGCCTTTATATTTCCAAGAGACTTTATGTTCCATTTCTTTTTGTACACTGGGAAACAAATATCCATTCTTCTTCAGTTTCTGCCCTCCTTGTTTAACTAGAGTCCTTCCTTCTAGGAAGGAAAAGAGCTAGGAGGCAAATTTGTACAGATGATGCTATTTTATACGCTACATGGACTTATCCCTCATATAGGTTGGCGGGGATGACCCCATGGACAAGAAAGAGACTTGTTCTGGACAAACATAGAGAACCATTGTCAGTATACCCTACTTATGAAATGAACTGGTATTTGTCTTGTTACAAGTTATTTAGCTTTAAATTTTATATCAAACTGACTCCAAATCAAAGGGTAGCTATTCTGTTCTAAAGGTCTCTGAGGGAAATCTTTCACTGTATTATTTAGTAATTTGTCATAATATCTCACCTTCTATAGCATTTTTCTGCTTGCCCTTTTAAGATCATTGTTTCTGGTCCTAAACTAAGCTAAAAAGAAAGATTTTTAATCACTATCATCTGTCAATTGATCCATTATATATTTGAAGACAATAATTAAATCTGCCATCAGTCTTCTTTAGAACTAAAATGTCCTCATTTTTTAAACTTTCACTAATAATTATCCTTTCTACCAAGTCTTTTAAGAACTATTCTATTGAACCTGAAAATGTTACACAAACTTCTTTCTTATTTTTCAATATCTCCTTTAACTCTACCACATATAATTAGACCATGAAAATAAACATTGATTCCAAATTATTACAGCCAAACTTTTATTGAGGTATATATGATATATACATATGAGAGAAAAAGATCAAATGTATTATTTAGAAATTACAGTCTCTACTTCACTCCCTTTTATTTTTGTTTTTTATTTGTTTTTGTTTTATTTTGCAATAAACAGATGCCCTTTCTCAGAGCTGACAATTGCTTTTTAACCCTTTAATGGGTTTATACATGTAAACATATTTCTTACCATTTTATAAAAATTGGCCTTACACCAATGCCTCAGCATAGTTTCACTAGAGAGCATTCAAGCATGATGTCACTGCATACATTTTAAAACTCTAGCTATTGGGAAACTGCTTTATATAACAAAATTTTATTGAACAATTCTCAGTACCCGGTGGTAGCTGGAAAACAAAGAGGTGGATCTCAAAATTAATAGAAGACAGAGGTCTTTAAACAAACAGTTTTATTTTGAAAGAAGAGCTAAGCACAAGATAGGGTGTGAACCCAGAGAAGGGAAGGATAACTATCTTGGAAGGTTCTGTTTGCCTCATGAAGGATGGGTAGGACTTTGTTAGAGAATAAGACAGAATTAAACACAGGGATAGGTGTTTATGAATATGTCAGGTGAGTGGATAGGGATTCCAGACAGAAGAAAGGTACATAGGTTGCTGTTTAATCTAATACGTGCAGTAATTTTGGACTTACAAGCTTAAACAATCCATCACTTCCATAATTCTTTTATTAATGAAATTTCATATAAGGCATTAGCTCATTTGGTTTTGATAACTCTTTTATCACATTTATTTATGGTAAAACAATTAAGTTTGAGCCAAACACCTAAAGAGTTTTTTTTTGTCATTTCCTACATTAATTTTATGTTCTCTGCTTGGCTCTCTTTTGTAACTAGGAAGATAAGCATGCTCAGTGAATCTAACTCTGTGTTTACTAAGATTTGCTTAACCAACCATATGACATGCCCTAGCATACACAAGTAACCTACTACACAGAGGGCACATGATACCCACTTGGATACCTATGTGTGAAGATCACCGATTTAATCTGGATTTTTTAGATGACAGCTTATAATAAAAACAATAATACAATCCTGTAGTTGGTGCTGAGTTTAACTTTCTCAATTTGAGTCAATGAAGGGAAGAACAAGATTTCTTGTTAAATGTGAATGCAGCAATAGACTAGTCATCTTTGTTTGATTTTTTGTTGTTGTTGTTTAACGGAAGCTTTAAAAGAGTAATTTGCAAAAATTATCTTAAAGAACACTAGAAGTAATGTAGTGGTATCCTTGTAAAATGTTTTGAGATGTATTAATATATTTATGCTAATAAATCTGAAAACAATGAGTCATAGAACTAACAAGGATTGCAAATCTTTTGGATGTTGTGGTGCTATGCAGCATAATCCTGATACACTGGGGAGACAGGTAAAATTGGTGACATCAGAATCAGGAAAGTGGAATGGATGTGAAAGTTGGTGCAGGTAGGAGTGATGGGTCCAAAAAGTGCAATGAATAGCTACAGATGGCAGTAGCAGAGAGAAAAATTCAAGAATTACACTGGATGATGAATTGAATGAGTCAACATTCTGATCCCTGTTAAAATATTCAAATGCTATAGTGTGTTGAATTCTAATGGTGATGTCATGCATAAAAATGGATTGAACTACATTCAAGTCTTGTTAGGCTGCAATTTGGGGACGAAGTTCAGCGAAATGCCACATTTCAGAAAAGAGACAAATTGCCAAGCATTTGGTGGCGAACAATACAAATCATAAAAAGATCTTGAAAACACCAGCTAGGAGAGGAGTTTGTGAGAGCTGAAAAATCTCACTCTAAAAAATAAAACACAACAAAAAAGATACAGAAAAGATGATCGCATCTTTGTATATATAAAAAGAATAATAAGAGGGGATAGAAATTGTTTTTTTCACTGGTTGGTGCAAATAAACAAGAAATAACAGCCTATGTTTTGCTGAGTAAAATATAGGAAGTATATTATTTCTGTAGATGATTTATTATTTGAAAATGTCCATATTAAAACACTATTGAGGTTGTATAGTTAACTATACAGATATCATAATATGGCATTATGAGGTTTCCTCTAAGTAAGAATTTAACCTGATATTAAATATGTGTCCAAAATAATGCATTATTTAAAAAATACTATTAAAGGGCACAATTTAAAGCTTTAAGCCAATTTGGAGTCAAGATTTAAAGTATTTAATGTAAAGAATTACTCAACAAATAGTGATATCCATTTCCTAACATATAAATTGAAGAGTCTACTTGAAAACAATAATCAACAAAACAATGCAGCATCTTGCACATAATAAATGTTTATTAAATTGAAAAGAATTGGAAATTCATTTCAAATTTGAATAAAAATTAAGACCATTCTATAATAAAAATGATAAGAAGAGAAGCATCTCTAGTTTACAACACACATAATATATAAGCTTCACTATTCATTTAATTAATTATAATGTTACTAATATTCTCTTTAATTATGATCATAATAAAAACTATATTTACTTTATTGTTTATAATACTTCTGGCAGTGACTTAGTGTTTTTTGTGTACAATGCCATCATTTTAATTTTCATTTTTAACAATGAAAAATTCCAAATTTACAAAGGTTATGCACTTTACCAAGATTATATAACAATAGATGGCGGAGCTGGGCTTCTACATCCCGCATCCCTGCCCCCAATCCTATTGCATGTGGTTCTATAGTATATCAAATTATTCTATATCAATAATATACATTTGTTCAAAAGTAGTAAAAAAAAAAAAAACATAAACGAAAACCAGCCAACAGTCCTCAAGTACTGTCTGCAGTGAGTATAAGCAACAATTTTATGCTCAGGCAGCTATGTGGCATAAACAGTGGATTTTGAACCTGAACGTGCATCAGAATCACCAAGTGGACTTGTTAATACACAGTTTGTTAGGCTCCACCACTAGAATTTCTGATTTAGTAGGTAGAGTGAGGCTCAAGAATTTGTATTTATAGCAATTTCCCAGGTAATGCTGATGCTGTTGGCCCAGGGACCACACTTTGGGAACCACTGGCATTAGGGAAAGGTTACTATCTTCAGAGTTGGAGACATTTGTGATCAAACTGAAGCTGTTCCGATAAATAACCTTGGGAAAGTCTCTTTGTTTCCTCATCTGAAAAATGGCAATCATATTAGCAAGCGCATAGGTCTTGAGAGTTAGGTAAAAGAATACCTGTATAATACTTACCCTCATAGGAAATCATAAAACACTAGTCATCTTCAGAGTTGCCCTCTACTTGTTTTGATGTCCTCTGTGTAATAGGTGGTGTGAATTATAATGGGGGCAGTAGGGACAGTAGGGACAATAACATTTATTGTATGCCTTCAATGTTAGGCCTGCCCTTTATGAGTTTTGAGGCTTATAAGGATGTGACCTGTAACATAAAACAGAAAGCAAAAACTATAGAGATTCTCAGTTAGGAGCAAGAGGATGTTTGCCCTTTTCTCTCTACTCTAAGAAATATTGCTCTTCTTGGCCTCCAAGCAAATATTATTTTTTCCTCCTTACACTTCTTAATAAGTTGCTATTTATGGCACTTGTT